ACACACACACACACACACACACACACACACACACACACACACACACACACACACACACACACACACACACACACACACACACACACACATCCAACCAAACCTGAATGTCAGTCTGTTTGGTAAGATTCACGAAGGAATTATATATCTTAATTCTCGCGATTGTCACTGTCAATGAGAGGCCGTTAATTACATGTCTGCATGCATGAGCGATGTTTAAGATGGTAGTGGAGGGGGATGTATGGATACTCACACACTGATCAGCTCGGGAGCAGTGTGACACAAATTGTGGCAGCCCTATTGAAAGACAGTAGAGATAGATAACGGTGGGTATAGCGGTGTCCGTAATCGTGTGTGAGCAGCCGGCTTAATGGTGTATTTGTGCATGTAGTATAAGTACAATTTTTAAATGGTGGACCACGATTCTACATGATTAGATGCTGACGTAGTGAAGAGACCCTAGAGAACAAGGCAGCAAGGAAACATGGAAGGTCCTTGAATTTGTAATTGGCCTCATCAGCTGGCTTCAATCCTCTACTTTGTTGAATGTTCAAGCTGGAGTGACAGGAAACGCAGAAGAGAACTGAGTCACTGTTACATTAGTTCCAATCCAAACGTGGTGTTCAAACACCTCAAATACAAATGAAATAATTTCTATGTAACACTTTTTTTATAAGTTGTATTTTTCACATTTTGAAATACTGTAGTACTGTATGTAGTAAGTGAAGAATGGCAATTCTATGCTGGCGAAGAGGCTCGCACTGTTACGTCACAGCAAGAAGGTTCTAGGTTTGAATCTCTGTCGTCTTGGGGATTTCTTTGTGGATGTTCTTGCTATGATTGTGTGGGACCTCTCTGGGTTCTCAGACTGCGTTCCATGTTCCCATGTGTCCTGTATGTTAGGTTAAATAAAGAAATTAGCCATCGTGCAATCTCGGTGTCAATGTACGTAAGCGTGAGTAGTAGTCTTGTTTCAGCTGATTGATTTAAAAATGATCAATGAGTTGTTTTGTTTTGTATACTTGACTTGGAGTGCAACATTACAATTTAATTATACATGATTGCATAACTCACTTTTAAAAGTTTAATGACAGAATCAAGAACAAAGTGGCGGCTCGGTGAGCCAGTGGTTAGCGCGTCGACCTCACAGTGGTTCAATTCCAGCTCCGGCCTCCCTGTGTGAAGTTTGCGTGTTCTCCCCAGGCCTGCGTGGGTTTTCTCCGGGTAATCTGGTTTCCTCCCACATTCCCAAAACATGCATGGCATGCTGATTGACCACTCTAAATTGTCCCTCGGTGTGAGTGTGAGCGTGGATGGTTGTTCGTCTCTGTCGGCCCTGCAATTGGCTGGCAACCAGTTCAAGGTGCCCCCCGCCCTACTGCCCGAAGACAGCTGGGACAGGCTCCAGCACCCCCCGTGACCCTTGTGAGGATAAGCGGATCAGAAAATGGATGGATGGCTGGAAGAACAAAGCCAATTACGCCTAGGAATTGATATTCATTGGAAATTTGTCTTGTACTATGCAAAGGGGTTCCCATGGGAGTGGGCTGCAGCAGGGCATCATGCCCCAACATCAGTGAGGCTTAAGTGCCTTGCTCAAGAGTGGTCGACCTCAGTTATGGACAGGGGGTGAACCAGCTTCCTCTCATTCATACTTTCAAATGCATCTCAAAAGGGCCAGCCGCTGATTCCGAATGCGAGTCCTGTTCCAGTAATTTAAAGCAAAGGTCCCCAACCTTTTTTGCCCCACGGACCGGTTTCATGTCAGACAATATTTTCAGGGACCGGCCTTTAAGGCCGGAGAGATGCAACAATATAATATGATATGACCTGCATGAAAAGTGTGGTATTTTCGAAACAATAATAAACACGAATCATGACACGAGGAACATCCTATCTGGACGCAACGTTCTCTGGTCGCTATGGTAATGTTTAAACGTGCCTTCAAAATAATATACGTCACAAATAAAAAATCATGAAAAATACGACTCACCATCGCCGTTTATTATGCAGAGTAGGCTTGGTGCGTGTGAATCTCCCATTGAGATAAAGCCGTAATACAAATAGGACTCCTGATACTGTCTATTAAATGCAGCCTTCTCTTTCTTGAAAGTCGTAGGCTCCTCTAGCAATTAGAGTTGGCAATCACGGTTGTTTCTTTTCACTTTTTGATGATTAAAATTTGCCTTTTCTCTTCTGTGGCCAATAATCTAAAGCTTGACTTTTCAGTCGCCATTATTTTGCAATATTGTTGAGTGGAAGTGAGAAAGAGGATTTGAACTTGTCCATTTCAAAATCCCAAGCCTTAGAATGGCCGAAGTGTGCTCTGGCAACAGAACTCTCAAATATTTACCATCAAAATCATTTACAGGTGAAGCACATTTCCCGATTCCTACATGATAAATGGCGGTTCAGCATCAATGTAAAGTCAAATTATGGTTTAATTTGGATTGACCCTTCTGCTTAGGAAGGATTGATTAAGCCTTTTCAACATTGCATAATCAAGGACATTTGACCAAATAGTTGATTGCAAGTGCCAATATTATATTCATAATAAAGCTGACTGGGTGACTTCATGGATGAAATCACAGTAGGGATTTACACATAAATGTTCTCCAGGGATGAATAAATTGTTGTTTCTTGTTCTCCATTTGATGTGATAAAAATATCCATTTGACCTTTCATTCAGAGGTCATTTTCCCATAAATGATCGTTGCATTACTTTAGTTGATTTAAATCAATATCAGACGACATGCATATTCCTGTGACATTACTGAGGCACATTTTTAGCAGTTCACTTTTTAGGAATCTTTTATACTGCAAGGTTAATCCATGTATGCAGACGACTAGACTTTGTGCGCTGCTGAAAGACTTCAAGCAGCTCAACACCGGCAAGGCTCATTGAAAGATGACTCATCAACATTTATTTCGAACACCCACGCTGGAGGAGTTTCCTCTCTGCGTGTATTTGTGTTTGACAGAAACCGAATGTTGCAGGGTGTGTTCCAAAAAAAAAAAAACAAAACAAAAAAAAAAACGCTCAATGTACCGAAGATGCTCATTGTTTCTAAAAAATCTTCAAATTCATTTTTTGTTAAGAAATAGGCATTAGGCACACAGAAAAATAAATAAATAAATAAAGTCGACTACAAAATGTATCTGGATTCAGATGATCTTATTTTGTGTGACCACTTGATGAAATAAAATTGAATAAACTCAACACATTTTTTTTCGGTCTAAGTCCGCAAAACAACAATTTAAAAATTGAAAGTGTGTGAAAACATGATTTAGAAAAGTATATGAGTAGTTTTATACTTTATATACAGGTATGTAAGATAGAACATTTTGTTTGCCATTTACCGGCCAATTTCAAGGCAAGGCAAAGCACTTTTATTCATATCATGCATTTCATACACAAGACAACTCAATGTGCTTAACGTAAGCAAAACCGCAACACCCACAAGCAATTACTGACAACAGCAGTTAATGACATGCAGAAGAAAGATACAATCAAATGGATTGGGAGAGCTTTCATCATATAGCAAGATGATGACCCAAACAGAGATGGAAATCCAGGTCCAGATAGTATAAATTCCTCCACAGTTTGCCTTTAGCCACAGGTGCTTTTACTCAACCATCAGTTTCACTGTTTCAGTACCTTTGAGGTGAGTGCAGATGTGTGGCAATGTTCGTGCCAGTGTCTTAGACAGCGACAACTGCTTTCAACAACAAAGGCACATGGCAGTGAGTCTCTGCTATTATACTTTCTATATTGGTTGCTTCTTCTTCGGCACAGACTGCCTCTGTTACACCTCCGATGCTATGCTGGAAGGCAACAAATTTCCGGGAGACTTCAACTCTGCACCCCAAATCGGTACTCTACACCCAGGACAGTGAGGCAGGAAAAATCCATGGCTTGGTTGGCCAGTGTGAAAGGGGCTCAATGTATATGCTACTGTTACAACTGAACTGATTCTTAGGTTTTTAGCCCTTGAAGGCATTTGGATATTTCTTCATATTCTGCAAAGTCAAAGTGCATCAGACACATTCGAGTGAGAAGATAATGGCCAGTCCACATCACTGTGACTGAAACAAAACATACCTGTTTAAAAAGTGGGAGAACGTCCATGAATGATCAAGTTTTAAGCATGACATGACAACTGAGCAAATCCACATATCCATACATATACATAGGTGTAGAAGTGTATTTGAATGTCTAAACTGCAGTTTTTTATTCACAAACAAACACACACACACAAACACACGCACACAAAATAATATACATTTAGTCCATGACAATGAAAAAAAAACACCTTCCGCTGTGCCTTTTTTTTTTTTAAACTCTAATTAAATTTGCTCAAAAACAGTATAAGTGAGTGGGCAGCCAATCTGCAAGAAGGGCAGTAGTGTGTTTGTTTAATGCATTAGAGTCCATCCATTCAAGGAAGTATGCAAACAA